CTTGTACATTTCATAAAGATCTCTAGACATTTAGGCATAGCGAGAGATGTTTCTAATCCTTTGATGTTGAACAATATGAATATTTAACTAAGCAGTATATGTACTCAACTAAGGAGTATGGATACTCAATGGAGATGATGGATAGTCAAACAAGGAGTGCTTGTACTAGGGTTTTGATACTTACGGTATTCGATACCAAGCTAGAAGTATTAATACTGAATGATGGCATCAATACTAAAAAAATGCCTCGAAGTTCTTTGATATTGATACCTGATCTTCAGTATGAATATCAAGTGAATAGTACCGATACTACCAAGTACAATTTCGATACTCAAGTTGAAAATTTCTAGATTTCTTCACTAATTCATTTTGGTATCGATATTGTTCATCAAGTAAAAAACTAAGCCTAGAAATTTATAAGCTCAAGAATCACTCTAAAATCCTCCTAACTACTCTATTTTACTCCAAAATCAATTCCTAAAACTTGATGGGGTTTCCTATGGTCATTTAGTACCCTAAAAAACACACGTTACACCGTAATAGAATCATTTAGAGCATAAATCATGTAACATGCTCAACATGTTTCAAAACTCAAATCAAAACACAAAGGATCATACTTATGAAAGTCATGACATCATAAAGGATTAAAAATACAATACATTGCTCAAAGAATCCCAAAATGGATATTCTTGCTCAACTCTCACCATACATATCTTTAACTCAAGCTAGATGGTTCGTCAATCTCTTGCACCACAGAAACAAATGCAAAACGAGTTACTTACATGAACTTTATAAGGAGTATAAAAATACTCTAATAACACTATAACACTTGAATCCACTAGATAAGCTCTAAGGTTCAAAACACTTCCAATACTCTTGTCTAAACTCAAAACCATCTTTAATGAAAATCTAGAGGTTAACATGAATCTCTTGAATTTTTAGAGGTAAATATTACATTCGTTTGATATAGATCCTTAAAAAATGACCAAACTTCTACATTTTTAGTATGTGATCTTATGGAGAAGGTGAGAGGGGAAAAGGTTTTCAGCTTTTTCCCATATATCCGATGTCAATACATATCCAAAATCTCATAAAATCATCCTTGTTATCAATAATATTCTAATTACACTATTGTTCCTTAGTCAGTATCCTTCTAAAAAAAATCTATTTTTATGGCTAATCTAGCCTAAATTGCATCTAATTAATTCTAAATTTGACCCATCGAATTCAATTTCAAATTCACCTTTGTCCAAATACCTATTGGATCAACTCTTATGCGCCAACTCTAAAATTTTGGATGTTAAAACTCTTTCCTCTTAAAAGAAAATTTTGTCCTAAAAATTACTTGCATCAAATGAGAATACACTCTAAGTTCGATACACTAAGAAGCCTCACAATCACCTCAAAATCTAGTTGAGGTTGATCTTCATGGAAGAGATCCATACAAATCGACAAGAACATACAACCCCATCATATTGGTCTAAAATCATCTCAACAATGTCACATGGGTCGAACCATCGGTAAAACCATCATGAAGTCCAAGGCCACTTTAATCTCATCCCCGTTGCTCAGTGATGAACACTCAAGATCATTCCACGAGGACAAATCTTTGCCACTTTGTGATTTTAAGCTGCAAAACCTTATCTCAACTAAGTTAACCCAATAGTTTTTTTCATATAGTACATAATCTATTCTTACCTTCTGAACTCAGGTAAACGCAACAAATATTCAACGAAGATCCCACAATTACTCACCATACTCAAACTCAATAACATCGCCGGAGTATTTTCTACCAATTTTTGGCTCTCGACACTATTTCGATGGTGTAGATCTTCCCATTAAGTCTCTTATGAACAAGTCACTGCACCATACTTAATATGTTACGCTTATTTTTATGAAATTCATAAAATATAATATAGTAGATGTGTATCATTGAGCTTTTATAACTCATCGTATGAATTTCTCCATTAGCAGGTTACATGTTTCGTGAACCGCAATATGATAATGGTATCACTATCAACAGATGAATCTTAGTGGGGTACTAGAATACAATGATGATAACATAAGAGAGCATGTGTGATTTTTTGAGTTTTATTGTAAATATTGTACTTATGTATTTTGGTTTTTAAATAAAGGATCTCTATTTTTTAATTTTTATATTTTCCTTATTTCTATATAAATATTTTTAAAATTGAGTAATTCATATTTCCTAAGTTTTTAAGAGTGAGATCACTACGTGATCTAATATGACACTCATAAAATTGATAACGTGTGAAAGTTGTGTTTGGAGTGTTATATCAATAGTAGCAAATTTATCAGCAGAGAACATGTTGAAGAATTATATAAGATGTTTAGGAATGAAATGAGATATAGGACTAGTTATTTTGTTATTGAGATTCACTTTAATTGATTCTTTTTTGGTCGGGGTGTGTTACATGCTCACCGCATCAATTATTGCTGAGAGAAATAAGGTTATGATGATTTTAGGCAATTCACCTTTTTTTTATTTGACGGATAATTGTAAACAATTTTTCAATTGAGAGAGATCAAGAGAAAGAACCCCTTTTTCAAGTATAGGATGATGATGACTATTTGTATGTTGATAGCGTAAATAAATTTGATAATATATTCAATTAATAGATCACATGAACCTATCAACGATCACATCAAGGAATTGTAACTGATTAGAGGATATAAAGCATTACAAATTTCAAAATTTAACAATCAAAAGAATGATAATGAAAGTATGACTTGTGAAGGATTTTCGGAAAAAATATACAAGAATAATAATTAAATAATACTTTGTTTATTATTTTCACATGATTTTGTTTTATTGTTCTCTTAAAGTGAACAAACATAAAAAGTCAAAGAAAAAGTTAAGGATTTGTTTTTTAGTTTTAATTCTTGATCCCCCCGTAATCTCTCACCTATGGGTGCTTAATGAGTTTAATTGTTCGTGAGCAATTCAAATTCAACTCAATCAAAATTCAGTTAAAGTTCGAATTAGATTGATTTAACTCGAAGTCGCGCTCGATTTAAGACATTAACAAGTTGTGTCGAGCAAAGTCTAACTCGTCTCGATAAGTTCGTGAGTTGCTCGTTAATTTTTTAAATAAATTTTTAATAGTTATCTTAAAAATTATTTCATTAAAAATACTAATTTACTAATAGATAATAAAAAATATGATAAAATATTAATATATTAATTTTATAATAAATAACAAAAAATTATTAAATTATTAATTAATAATTATTATTTTACTACACCAAAGAATAAACCCTAAATAAAAAAAAGAATATTTATTTTAGTTTCTTATTATATGATATTATAAGTGTTTTTTATTAGCAGGATAACTATGTTGATCAAGCAAAGAAAATTATTCTCCCAACTTTATAGTTTATTGATAGTAAGCAACAATGAATGAAGTGAAGAGATTTGATTTATTTATTTTTAGGATTGATTATGTATTGTTGACCTTTTTTAAAGAATGTTTTTAATATGTAAATTTGTTGTATTTATAGATTGTTACTTTGGTTTTAATATGTTAGTTTGATGTATTTATGAATTGTTATTTTGGAGTTTAGAGTTTGAAATTATTTCATACACTCTTTTGATAATTTTTTGATTAAATTTGTTAATTTTGTTTATATCAATCTCTATATAATATTAGTAGATTTTACCTATAGTTAAAAAATAAGGTAAACATTTTGGTGAACTTAATGAGCAACAAATCGATAAACTAGCAATGAACTTAATGAGTAACATGTAATTAGATTAATGAGCAACAAGTTTTTTTTTAACAAGCACGAGTCGAACAAAATTTTTACAAGCTTAACGAGAAATGAGTCTAGTCGAGCAACAACATGTTTTAATGAGCACGAGCCAAACACTACCCAACTCGCGATTGACTCGTTCTATAAACACCCTTCATTAGGGGTGAGTAAAACTTAACTCGAAAAATTGATTTTTTTTTCAATTTTGAGTTATTCGAGTCAACTCGAATTATCAATTTGATTTACGAGTTCAAGTCAAGTTAAAATTTGAAATTTTGAGTTACTCGAAAAATAAAAAAATTTAGTAAATATTTTGATAATTTTACGATTTAGTCCATGATTTCACTATTTCTTCAATTCTTCATTCATTTTAAGTCATTTTTTTTTACCAAACTCAAATACATATGTAATTTCGATTCCTCTTTTTTATAACAAATTTTTTTGTCAATTTAGTCCTTCAACTTTTTATAATCTCCTTATTTCTTCAATTCATTCTTTATTTTAAGTGTTTTTTTACCAAATTTGAACCACATACTCATATAACACAACAAAAATACCTATGTAATTTCAATTGTTATTTTTACTGCAAATTTTACTTTTTATTATTTAGTCTCTTAACTTTTCATTTTACTCAATTTGGTCTTTTGACTACAATTGTTTGCAAATTCTTTTTTTATCAATTCCTTGACTCCTTTATACTCTTGTCAATATTTTACCCTCAAAATACTTTATTTAAAATATAATATTATGAATATATTTCATAATTTAGATTCTATTTGATATATTAGATAACATTATAATGTGAAAATAATATATTATATATATATATATATTATATGGTTGGAGAAAGTCAAAAAAAAATTGGAACAAATCCATGCCATAATATTATAAATAATTATAATAAAATTAGTATAAAAACTTTAATAACTTGACTCGAAATTTTTTTAAGTTAAGTTCAAATTATAAAGTACGATTCATCAACTCAATATTTTTTTAACTAGACTCGATTCGAATGCTTACCCTACCCCCTCCTCTCAGCCCTTATAAAACACTTGTGAAATCATAATTTTTAAAAATTCCTGACAGTATTGCGATCTAAACTAATTAATATGTTAATTATTTTTTTTAGAATAATTAATCTGGTATAATTGACAAAAGAATATTTTTAGTTTTTTTTTATAAAAAAAAAGAGAAACTGCCATTTACCGTGGCTGGCGTTGCCGCTTTGGCTTTGGTTCTTATTTATTTCTGTTTTGATGTTGAGAATTCAATTCAGCCATCCATTTCTTTCAGTTGGTTTCTTATTTCTAAATAATTCAAGAAAAAACCAAATTTGAAAATCATTTTCATAAGCCCTTCCCCTTGGATTACGCCTTAATCTTTCCTCCTTAATACCCCCAAAGCTTCTCTGATTCTCTCTCTCTTTCTGTTTCGTGTTTTTTTCTTCTCTTCTTTGTCTCCTTCACACGGGTTTTTGTTTTTAATTTGACAAGCTAAAACAAAATATAAAAGTAACAGAAGTAAAAAGAAGCAGAGAAAAATGGCAACGAATATAGGTATGATGGATAGTGCTTACTTTGTTGGAAGAAATGAGATTTTAACGTGGATCAATAGCAGGCTTCAGCTCAATCTCTCTCGCGTTGAAGAAGTAATTTTTTAACAATATATGCTAAATTATTATTTTCTGTGGCTAATGCTTGTTTCTTTATTAAATTATTTTTATTTTTTCTGAATTCAATGGCCTCCCTATACATTCTATATGCCAATGTAGGGTCTGTTTCATTATGGTTTTTCGATGGGTAATTTTGCCTCCTTCTTTCTGGTTAATTTTAATGGAATTTGAAATGGGTTTATATTTTTCTTCATTCTAAATTTTAATTTTGGAATTTTGTTTAAGGTTTCGTACTGTTCGAATTTTTTTTCTTTTGTTAATCTTCGGTTTCCTCGAAATGTGTTGGGTTTCCCTTCTTCTTATTCCATGGTAGAGAAAATTGGTACTTGTAGTATGTTAATAATTTTATTTTATTTTATTTTTCCAGCCTTATTGTGGATTTTTTTTTTAATTTCTTTTTCATTAAAATCACTGATATAGCCAGAAGCCGAGAAATAATTGTAGGGACATTCTTCCTTTGCTTGCTTTTGTAGATTAGGATAATGCTGATACCAGCTGATCGTGTTATTATGCCTATTTCCAAGTTTTTACACTGACCGCTTGATGGTATCATAATTAGGATAAACATGAGAGCACATGGAATTTAAGTTGTGATCAAAAGTGGGTGATAATATGTGTATTTCTATCATTTAAGTCAACGATTGGTTTGAGGTTTTATTAGTACTTGTCGCCATCTGTGCAGCCTTACTCGATAAAACTTGACTCGAACAGCTAAGTCAGACTGCAGGATATACATGAGAGCACATGGAATTTAAGTTGTGATCAAAAGTGGGTGATAATATGTGTATTTCTATCATTTAAGTCAACGATTGGTTTGAGGTTTTATTAGTAATTGTCGCCATCTGTGCAGCCTTACTCGATAAAACTTGACTCGAACAGCTAAGTCAGACTGCAAAACAAAGAGAAACTCGTGTTTGTCTAGTAGCTTGACTTAGGTATTTGACTCGAGCTGGATCTTCGAAGGCCGTGCGGATGCCGGATGTAATATGATTTTGCTACACTTGATTAAATGTATTCTGGTATGTCTTGACATTTATTACTTATCTTCAGTTTAAATAACTATTTGCTTCCAGGCTGCCTCTGGTGCTGTACAATGTCAGATGATAGATATGACCTATCCAAGATCTGTGCCAATGCACAAGGTGAATTAGCCCGCTTTATTCATCTTGCCTGCATTGTTTTCTTAATTAATTGTCGTCGTGATAATCTTCTTCTGTGATTTTAATTGGAATGCAGGTGAATTTCGATGCAAAAACAGAATATGATATGATCCAAAATTACAAGGTTCTACAAGAAGTATTCAACAAGTTGAAAATCGACAAGGTAATTAAATCTCTTTCAATGCCTAACATAAGTTTGTCTTTTTTTACTACACATGTTTTAAAAGAATAAAAGAAATACACATTGATTATGCTTCATCACATCAGTTTGCATGAAAACCTAAAAAAAGGGAAGCAGAAAGTTGGTTAGCTCTCATATGACTTGCACTTCTTTTGGTAGTCGGCCAAAATGAGATTGTGGGAAAATAGAAAAAGTGTCATGATGCCATCGATGGGATATCTAAAATTTTTGCTTTTGGCATAAAAATTGATGGTTCTATTTAGATTCTTTTATAGGAGTTGAAGCTTACACTACACCTCTCATGAATTAAGATTTGAGGTCAACATGTGTTGTTAATCGATGTTGGCAATTGTGCATATGGTTGCACATGAACATTTTTTTGAGTTAGATTTCCTAATGGTTTTCCTGAACTTGACCTTGAAAAAGCCTGTATATACGAGTTTTATTGTCATTATTTCAATAACAAATTAGTTCACATTTGATACCTGTAACTTTGTCATTGCAGCATATTGAAGTCAATAGACTTGTTAAAGGCAGACCTTTGGACAATTTGGAGTTCTTACAATGGTTGAAACGGTATTGTGATTCTGTAAATGGTGGAATCATGAACGAGTAAGCTATTTTTCCTGTCAGTTTATGAATCTTTCCACCCTGAAATGATCAGTATGTTATGATTGGATTATTTAATTTATTTTACTTGATCTCGTAGGCATTATGATCCTGTTGAAAGAAGACTTAAAGTTGGAAAGGACAAGAACTTGAAGGCTTCTCGCTCAAAATCTCTTGAAGCAATCAATCTCCATAACTCTGCCTCTGGAGATGTGGCTGGCCTTAATAGAAACATTGGTCTGCTTAAGCAATGTGATTTCTTTTGCGTTATATCATCGTATTTTATATGCATTTAATCCTCTTCAATAATTTTCATGCTTGCCACTGACTGTTGTCACCATCGTATGATGCTTATTGTCAGTTTCCAAGCAAGGGAAGTCTGGTGTAGCAGCAGCTTCGAGCGAGGTCCGGGCTTTGTCCAAGGAGGTAATCACATTTGAACTCTTCTTAGCTTCTTTTATCATCTACTAACCTATATTTATAACGGTTTAGCGACACTCCATGCTTTTAGTGCTAATGGGTCAGACAGCTCCTGTTTAACGTTTTCTTTGCACAGATTCATGATTTGAAGCTCTCGGTTGATCTTTTGGAAAAGGAAAGAGATTTTTACTTTGCTAAATTGCGGGACATTGAAATACTTTGTCAGACCGCCCAAGTGGAGAATCACCCGGTAAGAGTTCCTGTTAAGCCCCCAACTTCACATTCTCCCAAATGAGTGTATACATACATCCCTGTATGAATGCATTACTCGTGTAGTCATTACGGATTCATCTTCAGTCATACATCTTCCACTCTCAAATATCCCCCGTTATTAATCCTAGTAGGGTTTCTCTCTCTTGGTATGGTGATGCATATATGTAAGGGCTTGTGTTGCTTTTAGAATGCATGAATTGTTTTATACATACATAGCATTTATTATGATCATGAAAGCAAACATGTACTTCCTGTGCAATCGGAGTGCTTTTATAATGCCATTTTTCGGATGGTATGCTTATTGAATAAAAAAAATCGGGTTGCAGATTGCATTAGCAGTAAAGAAAATACTGTACGCAGCTGATGCTCAAGACTCTGCACTTGAGGAAGCTCAAGAGTATATTACCCAATATATTGATGATAATGGTGAAACTGAGGAGGCAGAAAATGATGATTGAACTTTTTCTAAAAAAAGAAGAAAAAACTATTGATGATTGTGAATTGATCCAAATTTAACGGTTTGTATATTAAATATACTGGGTGGTCTCAATGATAAAAGATAATATTGTTCTCCTTAGAGCATTTAGGTTCAGACATTCACATTTGCAAGACATGTGTGTTATCAATAACTTGAAAACATTCCAAATAAATACTATCTTGCAATCATTTTAGATTATTAAAAAAACCATATGTTCTTGTTTAATTTCCCTTTTAATTTTCATTACAGCAATCTTTACGGTTTTATAAATAATGTACACTGATATGTTAATAGTCCCATCTTAAAAAGATTTTAAATAAACCTTCATTTTTTATACAAGAGTAAGCTTTGAAGTTATCTGTACATTTTTATATGTTCTAATTTTATTTTTTTACTTTTATAAAACTCTGTAACATAAAAGTTGTTAATATAATATAAAATGTCATGTCAAATTGTAGTTCGTGTGTATTTTTCTCGAGTTTAATGGTAAATAATTTTTTTTTGGGTTATGAAGATAAAGATTTAAGTTGCAAGGATAAATTCCAAAATATTGGCTAGCCCCTGTTCTGGCGAATGGCCAAACGATTGCAATTCATCGGAACACCAAAATTGTGTTTAAGCGACAGAAAGTGTCTTTAAAAGGTGATTGTTGATATCCGTGACCTATAAATACTTATTTCTGTGTACTATCATGTACGACGATAAACTATTCAAATATTTATGATTATACAGTTTGATGCTTACTGACATCAATGCTATTGTATGCTATTATACCTTATATGTTTAGTGGCATTACGTACTCAACATTTGATGATATCTGATATGCTTAGTGAAACCAGATATTATTGAATATTGCATGTTATAAATCATGATGGTTAGTGCCACCAGATACTGTTTTCATCTTTATTACCTGATATGCTTAGCAGCACTCGATATTAATGCATACTATAAACCATAATGCTTAGTGACACCATATACCTTTACATCGTATGCATGGTGAGATCATGTACCTTTGCTTTTGTAATATCTGATGTTGGTTGATTCCAGGTATTTTTCTACATTTGTTCATTATTATTTGATGTTAAATGATACCAAGGAACATATTGATTTTGATATGATTTTTGGAATAAATGCTAGAGTCATGGATTAGCTTTATAGTTTATAATACTCGCATGAAATATACAATTGAATGTTGATAAGTATGGTATTCATGTAGTGAAGACACATGTTTAGACCTATGTTATACTTTTATTGTATGCTTATATTTATGAATTGTATGAAGTATAGTAAAAGTGTGTCAATGAGCTTGTGAAACTCAATGTTTGGATGTTTCTATTTGTTGGCTAAAAGATCAAGATTCATGTCAGAACAGCCCTGTCATAGAATGATTTTCAGCACTTGAAAGTGTAATATTCAATTTACCTCAGTGAGCATGTATATTTATATGATCCTTATTTTAATCACAGTCCGTAAACTCTATTATCATTTTAATTTATTTTTGAATTGTACTATGTGATATTGGGAGCTCCATTTTTTGTATAAGGATTTTTTCTTTTTATTTTTGTATTGATTTTGCAAAAGCATTAGGTGTATTTGGTTCGATTTTTTTTTTTTGAATTTGACTATCGTTTTGGTGGTCTAATATTACAGCTTAAGCCCACAATATATTATCGGTCAAGTTTAAGATATCACATAAACTATCCAAATATATAAATATTATATTAATATTAAAAATATGAAATAAATAATTAAAAACTTACTATTATCAAACAATGTATCAATATTTAATTTTTCTACTAATAATAGCATTCCTATAATTTAAATTCAATACTAAAAAAATTCAATAAATTATGTTTTAATATTTATGTAACATCCCAATCTACTACGGCCCGAAGACCGATGGATTATTACTTTATACGAGATTACAAAGGAGGCTAACCCAAACAATTTTATTTTTAAAACAATTAACACGTCATTTGAAGTCATCCATAATAACAAAATAAAAGAATATCATTTGAGTTACAAATACGGGAGCCCCAAAATACATCCAAATTGTTTAAATAGAGTATTTCAAAATACAGTTATGACTTGAATACAAGAAGGTCCATATAATGTATATGTCCTTTAAAAAGACTCAAGACGTACTTAAAAGCTCGGGTATGTCTTGTAACACCCCCAACCCATATCCGACCCGGATATAAATCCGATGTGTCACATTGACTTTTCAAATCATTTACTTTTACCAAATAACTTAAAATTCAAATTCACATTTAAAATAACGAAATAGTTTACATTAAATACAATCTTATGTTGTTACAAAACCGATAGAGCATATTCAATTCAAATTCTTAATTACATGCCAAGAACATTTCTTTCAACAAAATACATATGATTTAAATTCTTCTCTGATCTGATCTTTGAAAGGAGAGGCTTACCTGTCTTGTCTATATTTGCTCCTCTTGCATCTTGGAACCTACGTGTGAAACGCTCACATGCTAAGTCATTGACTTAGTGAGGCATATAAAACGTCTAATTTAAATTTTAACTACTAAAAATACATGAACATTTCATACCATAATAACATATAAAACTATAGAACAGTTCATACAATAAACTACATACATACACATATACCATCAGTATTCTCATCACATCATTATCATTATCCATTTAAACATATCATCTTGTATTTAACCTTTGTAAAAAATCATGTAATACATAAATCATAAGACATTTTACAAAGCACAACACTTAACATCACACAAGGTTTATTTAGATTATCTCTTTTATTAGCCCGTGGTACACTTATGAGAACTAAAGATATTTAAGTGCATTGAGGTTATGCACAAATGCTGTCACCACATCTCGTATAATTTGCACTGAGTGACATATAGAATTTTCCCGAATGTCCACATATATGTCCCGAAAGACTGCGTAGAATTTTCCCAAAGGACCACATATATATCCTAAAAGACCTCGTAGAACCCTCGACTCTTGGCATGCCAACTTTACCCTTATCTCCCATCTCACATACTATGGGCTTTACCATTTACATCATTTATTCTCTTTATTTCACATAGTTAAGAAATCATATAAACCGTGTCTCATAGTGTATATCACATGTACATGTAATCACATAGCTTATTATCTCATAGCTCATGTCAATCTTTTATATAGTCACTTAGATCATTGCCATATAACTTATATCTTGATCTCTTATGTTCACAAATAACATGTAATATATAGAAAAACATATAAACTTATACATATACTTATGTACATATTTTCATATAGTATGTATATTAATGCAATATAGCTTATCTCACATTTTTACATAATTACTTATATCACATTAATTTTATACTAGTTTCATATATTCACTTAGTTCAGCTTCACATAGCTTGTTATATAGGCATGTATTCTCATAACTTATTATCACGTAGCTTCTATAACAATTCTCATATGGTTTCATAAATCTTTACCTTATAACTCATACCACATAGGAATTTCATAAGACTTATATCATAGGTTCATTTAAACACCTAAATCTTCCCCATATAGCTTATCTTACATGTTCATATAATCACTTATTTTAATATCTCTTAGCTTATATCTTATTCTCATATTATTATATAGGTTAATGCTACTTAGCTTATTTCACTTCCATTTAACCACATAAATCCATTATACCAATTCACATAGATCTAATTCCTATAACTTATACCTTGTTATCATATATTCACCTAGATCATTATCACACAAGATAACCTATAATACATAGTTCATAATTAACAATGCATATAACACATAAACATGTATTTATGTACACAAATAGAAAGCATATAAATAATATACTTGCATTCCTAAAATCATACAATCAAAACATTGGAAATAGACCCATCACAAGTCTTATTTCCATAACACCATATACAATATAATATGCACTCACCTTAGTCTCACTTAATCCAAGCTAAGCAGTCATATCTCTTATCTCTTACTTGATTAACCTTATCCCGTTGACTCGTTTGATACTTGCTTCTATTCGATGTCTACACGATACATATAATCGATATGAATATCTTAATTTGAATCACTATTAATCAATTGTATATAACAAGCTATACAAAATACTTAATATACAATTTCCATATGAGTAGTATCGGTACTAAAGGTACAGTATCGATACTTCTATACTATGGTATCGATACTATACTTCAATATGAATACCCAATTTTGATTATGGAATTCATCTTCAAAATGGTATCGATACCTCTAGATCGATACTACTCTTTCGGTATCGATACTTCTTAAAGATTCAGTCCACTTTTACCTTATGGTATCGATACTGTTCATCCATTATCGATACCCAGACCAAGATATCACCTATTTTTTTTCTTGAAGTATCGCTATTGTTCTTCCAGTACCGATACCCCTTACCTAGAACTTACTTATTTTACCTGAAAATTTCCCAAAACTTACTTATCTTCCACTATTTTAACTTTTTTCAAATCATTAAACTCAAATATACTTATTAAAACTAACTTATATCACATAAGTATTCCTTAACATCCAAAATCTCACTTCAATACTTGAATCTAAAAAGCACACCATATTTTCAAACATGTTCTTAATCCTTTCTAACCTCAAAAAATATCTTATTCTTGTTGATGAAAAGTCAAATATAGCTTAAAAAAATCTAATTACAACTTATTCCTAAAAAATTCACTTAAAAACCCCCTTATATTCAATCTCTCGTAACTTATAAATCCTTTAGTTTCTACTTATGTTTTAGCTTCCTTAAACTTTCTTAACACTCCAAGAATCAAAACCAACTTTAAAATGAAAGAAATAATCAATAGGAAGCATATTCACCTTATGCGAGAACTCACGATAGAAGAAGAAGAAGAAAAAGTGACTAAGTTCCATATTTTTCTTTCCTTATCTCATCTCCTCCACATGCTTATATATATACACCAATAATGAATTTTTAATTCATT